CCGAGTCTGAATTAGTTTTTTTTTAAGTTGAATTCTTTCTCTTAAACTAATGAACCGAGTCCACCATTTTTTTTTTTGTCATTATACATCGTTGTATTGTGTCTTGTGTCTTGTCCCCACGAGCCTTAAGTAGCCACCAAATTTAAAGTCGATTGTTGAAACACAGAAACTAAAGTAAAAAAAAAAAAATTGTATAAAATATACTAGCTAGCCATATTTAATTTAAACCAATGACTATTTGAAGCCCAAATGATAGTGACCCGATATCATCAAATCTCAAGGAACCTTCCAAACGATGGACAGGGTCGAAGAAACCACAAACAAGCCATATAATGTTTCTATTGTAGCATGAAAGGACACCCCATTAGTATGTGCCCAGAAATAATAAAAATGCAGTTGGAATATATAGAGTTGCTTGACACACTTATCGAAGAACAAACTGCAGAAGTCCAAGAAATCGTTGACAAAACTATTAGCCACCGTAATTTTAATAATCTGCAAGCCCTGGAATTATTTTTAGAAGTATTAGAGTATGTTAGCTTGAATAGTATCCTGAATAATGAAAACAAAAAAGAAGAGATCATATACCTGCCTCCATATATTCAACTCATTTCACCTGGAAAAAGAAAGTGTTCTTCTACTGTGCCTCCAGTTGTCTCACATCTGAAAGTGGCCCAACTGTGAAAAGGATGGAAAGGAAAAGCCCACCTCTTGCACCTCTAATGATCTCAGTAGCTCCTAGTCCGAAGGTTCGCACACCACCATCACAGTATAAAAAGGACCTGACTACAGAAATAATTGACCTATATCTCACTCTGGAAGTGGTAGCCGAGGTTAGTAATGCTAATGCTAAAATCCTTCTAGAAAGTCTGATCAACAGTTATACAAAAATGCTGAAAACCTGAGTGCCCAAACCAAAAGGATCTGAAGAATCCAAACCTGCCAACTACAGAAACTGTTATCAAAATAGGACTGGCATTGAAAAGAATGAGAGAACCAAAGTTAAAAAGAATGAATCTAAGGAGTTCACTCTTTATCAAAAACTGGCAGAAATAGGACGTGCTAATGGAAAAAGCAACCTTGGTTATTGCCGCCAAAATGGAATCGATGCCGAAAAAGATCAAACAGACCTACCGGCCAATGGAATTGAGGTTGAACTGGATGAACTTATGACATTCGATCACTCTAAGAATCTGCTCGTACAGATCGACCTGACAAAGAAAATGATGTTGGACTTTGCTACCAAAACTGAATTGGTATCGAAAAGAATGATCACAATATGTCTGTTTATTACTGAAAGTCTACAGATATGGGTAATGCTAATGAAACATGTCTGATTGAACCCAGCTATGAGAAAGAAATTGGAACTAGAAATATTGAGGTAGATGCTATTAGTAAGCTAGAATTAAACGGATTAGATCAGAAGAA